ATATTGCTTATGTTGTACATGTTGTCAGCCAGTTCATGCACTCTCCAAAGATCCCTCATATGAGAGCAGTGGAAAGGATTCTTAGGTGCTTGAAGACTTGCCCAGGAAAAGAAATTTTGTTCAGAAAACACAATAAAATTGAAATTGAAGCGTATACTGATGCAGATTGGGCCGGTTCTGTTGGGGACAGGAAGTCAACTTCTGGATATTGCACGTTTGTTGGATGAATCTGGTTACATGACGGAGTAAAAAGCAGAATGTGGTTGCTAGATCAAGTGCAGAGGCTGAATATCGAGCTATGGCTCATGGTGTTGCTGAACTTCAGTGGCTTAGGACCCTTCTTAGTGAGCTCATGATAAAGATCGAGTGTCCTCTCAGGTTGTACTGTGACAATAAGGCTGCCATCAACATTGCAAATAACCCAGTGCAACATGATAGGATGAAACATATTGAGATTGACCAACACTTTGTTAGAGAAAGAATAGTCTCGGAGGAACTCTGCATTCCTTATACTCCTTCCGAGATGCAGATTGCAGATGTGCTAACAAAAGGGCTAGCTTCAACGAAATTCTTGGACTTACTTAGCAAGCTAAACGTGACTGACATCCATGCTTAGATTGAGGGGGAGTGTTGGTTCGGCTGATTTAATGTATATGTTAGTCATTGTTGAGTCTTAAGTCATTAGTTATTGGGCCTAAACTTGTTTAATGTTTTATTTGTCTAGGTGTCCCATCACTAATCAGGGGCATTCTAGTCCATTCATGTAACACTATGTAATAAACATATATATAAGATAATAGGATCGGCTGAAAGGTTTAGAGCCGCCATTTTCAAACTTTCTCCTCTTCTTCTTCTCTTCTTCTTCTTCGGCTGTTGTGTTCCAGCAAACAGTCCCTAAAACATGGTATACAATCAATTTATGGTACAAATTTCTGATCTAAAAATCCACAAAGAACCTATTCTCCATACTGTCATTAGAAAGAAATTAAAAACATAGATGACATATTTTCAAAAGCCACAAACCAACTTGCTCTGCTATACATAAATGGAATATATCTGGAAACCCACACAACTATTGAATATAAACCGAATTCAATGGTTCCAAAAGCAGGGCATTTACAACTTTTCCATATAGTACAAATAGAATTTTGCCTAGGGATTATAGCTGATAAGGGCAACTTTTGGGTCCTAATATCAATAAAAATAATCCTTTTAATATAAGTTCTAAAATAGGTTTACTTTTTTAAAAATATATCAAATAAGGGCAAAAACACTGTTCATCTTCTTCCTCCTCCAAACCACCAAATAAATCTCTCTGAAGATTAATAAATATTTTTCCCATCTTGCTTTTGCCCCAGCCCCACAAACCTCAATGACCACCATCCACCAGCGCCGCTGCCACCGCCTCCGCCCACCTCCGGCAATGCCGATCTGACAACATGCCTCTACTACACCAACCAGTGGCGGGATTGGGATGAGTATGTTCAAGTGGAAGAGAATAAACAGAGGCTTTCTGAAGACGACGAGGAGATCGTTGTCGTCATCAATGTCATTGGCTTCATCTGGGTGCAGCTCATTGGTGATGGAGTGGGCTGGGTTTTGTTTGCTGGTTTACGCCTGGAGGAATTAACTTAAAGATCGATTGGTGCATCCTCAGATTTCCTTTCTGGTTTCTCCCGGTATTGTTTAAATTCTTAGATTGATTACTAACCCATTTGTTCATGAACACATACCACAATAAAATCAGTCAATATAGCCACACAAAAAATAGTTCAGATTTCAGACTAGTCTGATAGACTGATCTAGAAGACTAGAACCATTCTCTACTATGCAATCCTCACTCTTTCTGTACTCTTTCTTGTTTGATTCATGGCTGAGCTTGGTGTGTTGGGTTTGGATTAATTTTTCCTGTAAGAAAAACTAACCAGAAATTTTTGAAGAAAATCGAAAAAAAAGAAGCATTTTTCTTCTTGTAATCTTGTTCTTGTACAATTATATTCAGAGCTGTAGCTGTATAGTCTTGTAGTAGAGACGTTTTGTTGTTAGTTCGTAGCTGTATCGAGTTTTCTGATCAGAGGGGAACAGTAGGCAAACGAGGCATGTGAAAGTGTGTATCGGAACTTATGGATATTCAGTATTCCTTTTTACAAGGGTGAACAAAAAAGGTAGAGATTTATGCTTGAGAGAGATTTATTCAGTGGTTTGGAAGAAGAAGAAGATGAACAGTGTTTTTGCCCTTTTTTTATATATTTTTGAAAAAGTTAACATATTTTAGAAATTATATTAAAAATATTATTTTTATTGATATTAGGGCCCAAAAGTTTCCCTTATCAGCTATAATCCCTTTTTCCTACAAGAAAAATGGCATTTGAAACTTTCATATATACATGGGTGAAAATAAGACCCTCTTTTACTTTATTTGCCATCTGGAAAATGGCTGGTAAGTTAAAACTTGGTACAAAGGAGAGATAACGAAGAGACGAGAGAACCGTGTGCACACATTTTGGGCTGCTATCATTAAATGCAAGAATCGGAAATTAGTAAAATGTAATCTGAGCCTGTCTTTCTAAAGGATCCAAAGAAAAGAAATTTAGAACAATTTCAGTTAACCTTTACTTACAAATCTGTCAAGTTTGTCAAAAGAGAAACTTGGGGAGGAATTGGACCTTGCAAACCACTTGCCTGTATGGAACTATCATTAAGAAACGTAGGTGTTAGAAATGAGAGGAAAGCAGCACATTGAATTTTCACAACTACAAAGCAGTCAAGATCTTGGAAGGAGAACCTCTTACAGTTTTTCAAGCTTTGTCCAATTTCCTATAAAACTGGGTATCTTTCCTGTGAATTGGTTATCGTTCATCCAACTGCATATTACCAATGAACAACACAAATTGACCAAAATAACAAAAATTGATTCAAAAATTGGATAAGACTAAAGAAGTTATAGAAATTTACAATTCTTTCAAGTTGGTCAGCTTGGCAAGTGTTTCAGGCAGCCTCCCTGTGAAATTATTCGAGCTAACCATCCTAGGAGAATAAGGGCAAAATTAAACAAACATATACATGCTTCATTACATGCAAATCTAAGCAACAACAGAACCCCCCCCCCCAAAAAAAAAATAAATAAATAAAGAGAATGCAGCGAGAAAGGTAGGAAGCTCTCACAATTTCTCTATGTTGGTCAGATCCCCGAGCTCTGTAGGAATAAATCCAGAGAACTGATTGGACTCGAGATTTCTGAAAATTAAATTACTTCAAACACGACCACAAAGCGATTTCGCTTGCACGGATTTGATGAGCAATGAAAAATAACAACTTACAGAACTCTGAGAGTGGTGATGTTTGCGAGTTCTTTTGGGATTGGACCTGATAATCGGTTTGCGAAAACAGAGCTACAGAAGGCCTCTTGATTAACATTAGATAACAAAAAAGTTTTGACATGCAAAAAATAAAATGAAGCCACGAGAACGAGACTAAGAAAAGATGCTTACATATTCACCAATTGCATGGCACCCCATTGTGGAGGTATTCTACCGGTAAGGTAGTTGAGAGTGAGATCACTGTAAGAAAAATAGAAGAACAAGAAAATTTTGCAATTAAATTAGTTAGTTTGAAGGAAACGAAGCAAGTAAATGAGAAAAGTAGCCATAAGGTGGATGTCCGTCTATGGGAAGTTCTTACATTTCTTGGAGGTATGGAAGCTTCACCAACTCTGGCGGGAGAACTCCTGATAAATTCTGACCTTTGAGAACGCTGAACTTCAAAAGAAATTTGCAGAGGAATTTAGCGTTTTTTAAGTTCAAGGAAAATGAGACTACACAAGGCTGGGCCGCTGGGAAGCTCGTCTACAAAGGCCCAAACATCACGAGCACAAATGTTTGCATTAGTACAAATGTTGGTGCAAATAAGAAAAATACAAATGTTGGTTCACGTTGGCAGTTCACTCCAATTGAATTACTTTTGGTGCACTCAACTCCATCAGGAGTTGCCCATGCATTCATTGTTAGGAGATGAGTTCAACCCAAACCTAACTCGACTCTTTCACTTCATTTTGTCAAAATGTTCTTTTATTTTGTTGGATATAATTAGTATATTAAGGTTCATTGATTTTAAAATTATTATTATATATATAAAAACAAATTTATATATGTTTGTCGCTACAGTGGCTGAGATGGTTGGATTTCTAACTTATGGTAAAGACCAAGAATAATCAAAGAGTTGGGATCTCCTATCAAAAAAATATGTTCCAACACCTTACTAACAAGATCTGACATTACGCATCTCACCACAAAACCGGAACCCACCATAAAAATGAGACCCGCATAAGATGTACTGTATAAGATATATTAGAAGCATCTCTCTTATCAAGTTGTCATGAATGGGAAGATATTCCCAATATGCGACTGCAGTGGTGAGTGTCTGATTGGAAGCAGATCTGAACTCAATGATTAAGCCATTTAAACGGTAAAAATCATCAAATAACCAATGGTCTAGGACCCGAAAGGTTGCTAGGTCACCGAGTCGCTGGTTCAACCATTTGGTCCAATCCAAAGTCTTGAGAGAATAAAGAGAAGAGATCACACGTACATGCTGATGACGTGACAGTGAGTGGTGTTGATATTGACAAAGGAACAGTTGCAAGTAACGTTGTTGGCAATGCCTCCCCAACCCTTCACCTCTGTCGTGTTTGTCACCCAACTTGAGCTGCCGCTACACGGATCAACGTTGAAATTCCAGTCTCTCTTATTCAAGCGGTTCCCTATTATACGCAATGCTTCCACTGCCAAGGCAAATTGAAAAATATAGCAAGGTTTTTAAAATCAAATGGGACAATCAATCGGTCAGGGGTCTGATTTTCGGGTTGAATGGTTTGTTTGTTTGAATCAAATAAATGGTTCACTCTGACAAAAAATAAAAAAAACAGTCAAAAATGTTGAACAATTCAACTGCCTGAATCAGCAGTTTGCTGATTAAATCAATGATTTTTAGTGAAATAAAGGTTCTAGGGTAAAACGGAACCAATCACTTGATAGATTTCCTGTTTTTCCAGTCTAACCATCCAGTCTGATCCGGTTTTGAAAACCATGAAAAATAATAATACCATCGAATATGGTTGAAAGTACTGTATTGTTCAAGCTTTTCTTTAGGATTGTCAATCGGTTGTGATCTAGACCAAGGCCCAACCCATTAAGAAAATGAATTGATCCAGCCCGACCCCCTGTCAGGGCCCTTTTGAGTATTAGACCCAGGCCCAGCTCTAGTTATACTTGAGTAAATCTTAAGCTTAGTATTTCGCCAATAAACCTATTAATTTTCTTACTCTCCTCTCAAAATATCTTGTATATTTCCTATAAAATAATAATTTTAAAAATAACATAATTAAAGACTTGCAAAAAATATATATAATTGATGATTATCAAAAAAGACAAATTTCCATGCAAATCATTCAAAGTTAATATGAATAGCATATAAAGAATCTAAAAAATTTAAAGAGTGATGTGTTGAGGGTGTTGAAGGAATTCCACGACTCAACAACTCTGCAAAGGAGCTTAAATTACACCTTTATAATTCTAGTCCCAAAGAAAAAATGGGCAGAGGAATTGAGTGACTTTAGATCAATTAGTTTGGTTGGTAGTGTCTACAAATTAATTTCCAATACTCTATCCAAGAGGCTCAAATTAGTGATGGGACCCAAATCTCAGAAACTCAATGTGCTTTTGTGGAGGGAAGGCTCATGCTAGACGAAGTGCCAGTAGCAAATGAGATGATAGATACTAGATTGAGAAGTGGGAGAGTCGGGCTACTTTGTAAAATCAATTTTGAGAAGGCCTATGATCATGTCAACTGAAAATTCTTGGACTACATCCTAAAAAGAATGAATTTTGGCTCAACGGAAAAATTGGATTAAAGTCTATGCCAATACTCCTTTTTCAGTCCTGGTAAATGGGGTGTCTTGTGGTCACTTCAGGAGTTCTAGGGGCTTAAGGCAAGGGGACCCTTCCCCCCTTCCTTTTTATTTGTGTAACTGAAACACTAAGTAGACTAATGAAAAGGGCCACGGCAAGGGGTTTTATAAAAGGATTCCAGGTAGGAGATAAAAGGGTGGAGGTTTCTTCGTTGCAATATGCAGCTCATATTTTGTGATGCTTCATTCGATCAACTTGGTTGTGTAATGGAAGTGTTGCATTGGTTTGAGGTTTGTGACAGGCCTTCATGTAAATAGGCATAAAAGCGAACTTGTTGCAGTGGGAGAAGTGCTAGAGATTGTGAGGTGGGAGGAGGAATGGGGTGTAAAAGAGGCAAGTTTCCTTTGAAATATCTGGGGATGCCTCTAGGTGCTAGGTGCAATTCCAAATTGATTTGGTAGCCTATTGTGGAGAGATTAGACAAGTGTTTGGCTTCTTGGAAGTCCAATATATTCAATTTCTGGTTGGGTCTCGGGGAAACTAAACCAATCCTATGGATGCTCTGTTTGGAAAGACTTATGGTGTGATAATAGACCCTTGAGGGTTTCTTATCCTACCCTCTTTGAAGTAGCATCGGATAAAGATGCTCTTGTTTCAGACTATTTACAGGTGCAGATCGAGTGAAAGCATTTTTTTGGGCACCTATCTTCAAGCGAAATTTGAATGATTAGGAAGTAGAGTCTCTAGTGGAATAAGCAGCTGTTATATAGCACTCCAGTGGAAACAGGGAGAGAGGATAAAAGAGTTTGGAAGTAGGAGAAATCGGGGGTCTTCTCTATTAGATCCTTTTACAACTATTTTTCCAAATCAGAGGCTGAGCCAATCCAAATTAATACTGTGTGGTGTAACGGTGTGCCCACAAAGGTGGTGTTTTTTATTTGGACAGCCTACTTGAACAAGATTTTAACAAGGGTATGCTGCTGGACACAAATGTTTGTGTGCTTTGTCAGAATCATACTGAGTCAGTCAACCATCTGTTGCTTCACTGTGGTTTCTCCTCTGAGGTTTTGGAATAAGGTCAGGAACTTGTATGAGGTGAACAGTTGTTGCCTTGAATCAATAGCACATTTTGTGAAGAGCTAGAGAGTCAAAGGCCTCACTAAAGAGGGAAAGCTAGCTTGGAACCTAACTCCCGATGCAGTTTTCTGGTGCATCTAGCAGGAGAGGAAGCAAGGATCTTCAAGAACCACCACAGTTCTTCAGACAGTGTTTAGAAAGTTATGGGAAAAATGTTGTCTTGGTTAGCAGTAAACAATGTATTTGAGGACAAAAATTTCAGTTCCTTTTTTATTGTTGGGAATCTTTTTGTAAATCTGGGTCTGGGGGTATAGTTCTGTTGGTTGCAGCTTTTGTAAATCCCTGTGTACAGCTCTTTGTTGTACATGGAGTGTAAATCTCAGTTTAGGGTAAATTAATTTGTACTCTGGTTCACTTTTGCCTGTGTTTTGGCAACATTACATTTATGCATTAATAAATGACAGACCAATGCATATTTACATTGATAATAAGATGTTAAAGTACATCAATAAAAAGAAGTAAATTTGCATTCAAGTGGGCTTTTGATAAAAAAAAAAAAAGCATGTACTTTATTGGAATTCATGTTTACATCCATTACAGCTAAAAGTCTGTTTGATAAGAAGGTAAATTTGTTAGTATAAATCTAACCCAATTTTACAATTTATATGAACCGTTTTACACTCTACATATTTGCATTCACACTTATTGCAACTTTTCCAAACGAAGCCTAATGAAATCTTCACTTTACCTATTTCAATATATATATATATATATATATATATATATTATGTTTACCTTTAGAAACCAATATAAATCTTTTTGACCTAATTATTTACAAGAATTTTCAAAATGGAAATCCAAATTTTGAACAACCTAGCCAAAATCGTAACCTGTATGCTAGATCTACGGGCATGTAGGCCTCACAGCTATTAGATGCCACAATTGCTATAGCTAGGCTACCCAATTTAAGACATCTTCCAACCCTAAGCCATGCATGCATCATCTTCTTCTTTAATGGATCCTACATGGTACCTTAGATTTCTGAAGCCATCAATCACAACTCATGGAATTTGTGTGATCATTTCATCTGTTCCAATTATCATGGCAATTAATAGCTTTGCATGTACAATTCTATGGGGTTGTATATTAAGCATGCTAGCTAGCAAGTAGAAATTCTCAAGAGGAGGTGAGAAGTGACCGTCAATATATGATTGGTATTCCCCTTGAAAAGATCATACATATATCCTTAGCATTTAATTAGGTGAAAAGTGACATTCAATATATGATTAATATTCTCCTTGAGAAGTTCTCGTATCCTTGGCATTTAACTTGCATTCTACGGGACATCAAGAAGATGAGTGCTGCTAGGCATCTTTTTACTCTATCATTCCTGGCAAATGATGTACTAATTTCTTTGGCTAATAAGGCCCTATTTAGTTCATTTATCTAGGCGTCATAATTTTATTTCTTATTTATTCCAAGCAAGAATTGGTAAGAATGAATAACATTAAAGTGTTTGGTAATAAAATTTTTGTCATGGCCTTATTCTTTTCAAAATTAAAATTTAGTCTATAGCTCAAAAATTGAGGTAGCCTATAGCATGAAAAATAATCATATCCCATCTTACTTATTTTCATTCTTTAAAGAAATTTTATGTTAGTGATCATAAACTGCCAGCCTAGGTCTATAAAGCCACCACCATAAATGTTTATTGGTGGACTACCATGGAAACTTATGCTAATATGCATTGACTGCCTGCCATCCACCGATAAACATCTTTATTGACGATTTTAGAGACTTAAGCTAACGATTTATGACCGCTAAGACAGTTTTTCTTTAAAAATGAAAATGAGCAACATAGAGCACTTTTCAATTTGAAAAGAATTCAATTTTAGAAAAAAAAGTGTTTGCTTCATAGCAATATTATCTCATTCTACCCATTGTTACCATTTTAGAATTTCATCTTGGGTAAAAATGAAAAAGAATGAAAGTTGAACTGAAATGGCCTAATAGTATTGGCGAACAGAACTTTCATGCTTATAACTCTATTCATGAGGTTCCAAGAGGTGATTCTATTACTCAAAAGAGGATTATTTGTGTATTCTCTCTACTATTAATGGTTTTGTACTTTTAGTGTTTTTACATTTTGATTGTAAGGGGTTGGGTTGAGAGGGTGAGATGATCTTGTATTTAACCACCTCTCTTTTGATAATGCTTAATAAAATTTCAAAATGGCCACTGGCCACCCCTCCACTTGAAGCAAATTTAGGGGTCTTAAAAACACTCTATTTTCAACACCAACCAGTTGGGATTCATGCATGCCTGGGATTTTGTAAGGACAAGTGAAACAATAGAAACCGGTAACTACTATAAGGAAGGAACGCAATGTTGTTTAAAACAATTAATCTTTATTTTAATAGTTTATTAAAAGAATATGTTAGTAGTTTGGTAATTTGGATTAATTGTAGTAATATTTTTAACAAAAATAATAAGTTATTGCTAAATACTTAATAGAATAATTATTTTTTCCATATTATCTATTAGTGCTCTATTTTATTTATTTACTTTGTTAATGATTAAATGTTACAATTTTTGTAAATATTACTTAAATATTAATAAACATATAAAATTAGGTTGTAGTCATAACTAAACTAATCTAAGCCCAATCTCAAGGTCTAAGACTTCGAGTTGGGCTTTTGTTGATCATCAACCTGACCCAACTCTCATAAGTCGCACCTCTAAGAGCAATGTGACATTTGTAATTGGACCAAACCAAATTGAGCGCAACCTATGCATA